TTATGTTCACTACCACTACCACTATTTGATAAACTATAATATACATAATTCATGTTCACTATCACTACCACTATTTGGTGAATTATGATATGTATAGTTTATGTCTACTACCACTATTTGATAAACTATAATATGCATAATTCATGTTCACTATCACTACCAATATTTGGTGAATTATGATATGTATAGTTTATGTCCACTACCACTACTTGATGAACTATGATAAGCATAGTCTCGGTCCTTGGTTTTTAAGACTACATTCTATCTAGAATTGTTAGGCTTCAGCTATAATTGCTAAGTGTATATGCTAGAGATATATAAGAATCTAGTCACAATCGACTTAGAATTGGTGGGTCCGCTTTATTTCGTGTTCCTTGTTTGGTTGTGGGCCTAGGGCAGACCCATTACATTCGACGGTCTATTTAACTTAAATTTTATATAACTTATATACACTTAGAGATTATAGAAGGAAACTATAGGAAATTCTAGGATGCACTATTTATTAATACAGAAACTTACAATTCACTCTATTAAGAAAATATTGGATTTTCTGGAAACATACTCTGTCGCTTTTTCAAGGAAAACGGTTTCTTTCTCAAACAAAACTCTTATGAACTCACCAACTTAATTGTTGACACTTTTCAAAACTACTTGTATTCTCAGGGAATCAGTGAAACAGGAAAACATCAGCACTTTGAGGATGAGACGTTAAATCGTCAAACAGTTTATTTTGTCATCATAATGTAATTGATTTTGACACATGTAAACATATACTATGGTGCAACCTTTTCAATTATATTTATGATGGTTGTATTTACTTTGAGCACTATTATACTCGTTGTTGTGATACTTTACATGAAGTCCTCCACCCCTAGACGTTTCCGCCATCCTTGGTTTGGGGGCGTGACAGCATGTTTTGATGGGTGTAACAAAGTTGTGAAGAACAAATTATGGGTGTGTGTAAGTCATTGAACTGGGGATTCTCTCTCTCTCTCTCTCTCTCTCTCTCTCTATTTTTTATCTCGAATTTCAGGTGAAGATAGGGGTGTTAACGGGGCGGTTCAGTTCGGATAACAACAAAATTATGAACCGTCACCACGGGGTGGGTACCTCATGTGCACTAACCGAAACCGAACCGTATTGGCAAAAAAAACCGAACCGAACCGGACCGTATAAAGGCGGGTAACCACGGTTCGGTTCACGGGTACCCGCAAAATATAAAAAATCAAACACAATCAAAACTATAAACTTCATTCCAATGATTTCTTTCTAAAAATTAGTAAGTCCAAAAGTTATAAAAAAACATAATGAAGTTCAAATAAAATACATTATAATTGGTATAGTAAATATAAAAATAAAAATACAAGAAAACATAATGTGGAAGTGCAAAACTGGGTCCTGATTTTTGTTTGGGATATGGCTAACAGTTTAATGGAAATGAGTAATATTTTTTTTAATATATATATATATATATATATATATATTATATATATATATATATATATATATCCTAACGGTTCGGTTCGGTTATCCGCGGATACCTAAGTATCCAAACCAAAACCGACCCGTTGATATCCGGTTTTTTCGGTTTCGGTTCGGCTCGGTTCTTCGGTTTTACAGTTTTTTTGCACACCCCTAGGTGAAGATGGTGAGGAATAAGAGTAGAGATGGTGATTCTTATCTGGTAGGGGATGAACTTAGATTTGTACCTTTCGAACGTCAAGCCTCCAAATCATCATCAAATCTAGCATAAAGAATGAGGGACGAATTCAAGTGTTTGGGAATTTCAGTATATATTTCGAATTTCTAATGTAAGCTTCAATTCCCATTCATGGTCGTTTGTTCTTGAAGGTGGGCAAAAAGAATTGAAGAACTAAGTTTTTTTGGGGGTCTCCTTGTGCGTGTAATTTGGTTGGAAAGAAGATAGGGATATTGTTTTTTTTTATCATTCATTCTCACAGGTAGAAGCCACGAAACACTCTCCCATTGCCTCTTTGATCTGTTTTTTTTTATTACGAGAACTAGGGATGTAAACGAACCAAACGAATACGAACGTGGTTTGTTCATGTTCGTTCGTTTAAGTTAACCGAACAAATAAACAAACACGAACGGTTAAACGAACGAGTTTCCTTGTTCATGTTCGTTTGTTTAACAAATTACATTGTTCATGTTCGTTCGTTTATGTTCGTGAACATGCTAAACCAGTGGCGGAGCTGGAATTTGGTAATAACGGGGGCTTGCATCAGTATAAGACTTTAATTTTATTTTCCAAATAACGTATTAAATTGAGACAAATTTAGAAAACAATCATTTGAGTATAACCGATTAAAAACATAAACAATTATTTGTATTCAGCCAAGTGATATTTTTGTGTTTTGAAGTTAAATCTAAAAAAAAATAAGGTATCCACTATTTAGTTTAATTAGGATGAACTCATAAAAGTTTTGAACATGATTGCCTTAAAACAATATATATCATTGGTAGTTAACAAAAAATAGTTTATAGATTTTAGCTTCAATATCAGATTTTAAATAAAAATTGATCTCTTTTATTTTCAACTACAATATGAAATCAAAACGAATTTCAATAACCACAATTATCACATGAACATCTAAATTTGAGTCATTCTTAATTTCAGTAGTAGTTTACGTTAATTTCATATGTATATTTTAATATAATAATAATTTAATATTTACAAATATCGACACGTATCTTTGAAAATAATTGAATATAGCAATAATTTTAACAAATATAAAAAGTAGATGAATAAATAACTTAACTTTTAGTTATCTATTTATTTGTGTAATTGACGTAACTAGATTTTTATGTTATAAGTAAAATTAATTTTTTTTTTTAAAAAAAAAGTTCGGACTATATGGGTTGGCTGGCTAAGGTGATAGAATTTATATTATGGCTAAAGATTTAAAAGAGTCGTGAGAAAAGTTGGCAGGGGTTGCACACCTGCATGCCCCTGTATTGTCTCCGCCCTTGTGCTAAACAAACATAAACAAACGAACATAAATGAACAAAGATAAACAAACATATATGAACATAAATTAACATATAATATTGTAATGTAATCAAACACAATTAAACATATATGAAGATAAAAGGAACTTATATGAACGAACATAAACAAAATATAAACGTAGAACATAAACGAACGTTCACAAACATAATTGAATGAACGAGACCATTGTTCATGTTCGTTCGTTTACCTAAACGAACGAGAATGTGTGTTCATGTTCGTTCATTTATTAAATAAACGAACTTCCCGCCGAATGGTTCACGAACAGTTCGTTGAACGTTCAGTTCGTTTACAGCCCTAACGAGAACTCATTTGGTTACTGGCCTCCTCCCCCGATACCTTGTTGAATATGGAGAGTTGTAGCCTTGAACTTGCACCAAATTTTAAATGAATCTAACGGAAACTATGTTTGTGAAACGATTGAAACTTCAGATTTTGGTTATAGGTTTTGAGGAAATTAAACGATAACTTGTTTTTTTTTTTGAAAGAGAGAGAGAGAGAGAGAGAGAGAGAGAGAGAGAGAGAGAGAGTTTAAATTGTTTTCAATATTAATAAAATAAGAAAGAAATTAAAAGAAATCCAAAAAAGAAAATAAAAAGGTATAACAGTCTTTTTAAATGTTTCAGGACCAAAATTATGGAAAATACTTAATTTTTGACCTTCCATGCTCCGAAAGTTTTTAGAACCTATCCAAAGTTTTTTGACATTAAAACTATGCCAGACAAAAGACAAAAAACCATGAATCTATAAAAATATGGATGACCCACCTTCAACATTATAAGCCAGACAAAAAATATATAACTTGGGGGCTATATTCCAATTAAAAAGACAATTATTTAGGAGACATGGAGGCGTTCAACATCCATCCATCCATGTAGGGGTGAACATTTGGATCGGACCGGACCGGACCGACTTTTGGACCGGACCGGTTACGGAGAATATTGTGGATCGTGGACCGGACCGGATGAGTCGTGTACGGGTCCGTGTCCGGGTCCAGGTCCGGGTTTTTTCTGGTTCTTGGACCCGTTTGGACCTGCAACAATTTAACACAAACATACATATATTGTCATCTAAATCTAACATGTCTACCAACTAACATATATATCAAGTTTACCAACAAAAGTTAACAATCTTAAGTTCTTAACACAAACATACAAAAGTAATTACCGTAACACCAAAAATCATAGTTTAAACTTTAAAATTAATTCAACTAACAAACGTCATAAAATCTTCCATTGGCCTCTTTCCCGTATCATTGTCATCTAAATCTAACATGTTTAAAGCTTGTGTAATCTCTACATCAACACAAAATGAAAGTGTTGTTAATATTTAATAAAAAGTAATAATTGTATAAAATAATTGTTGAAAAGCTGAAATATTTCACCTTTGTATCCTAACTTTGATTGATTGGAACTCATTAAATATAATATCTAAAACAACAAAATTATAGTCTAAAATCATCTACAAACTCTAAATTACACATTGAAAAAAACCGCATGTCAATCCGACTAAAAACGAATGAGATATGTTTGTTTAAACAATTTTACAGAATACAAAATTTTAATTTATTGCTGAAAAGCTGAAATATTTCAGCTTTGATATCACAACTATGATTGATTGTAACTCATTTAATATAACACCAAAAACAACAAAATTATGGTTTAAAATCATCTACAAACTCTAAATTACACGTTGAAAAAAAACCGCATATCAATCTGAGTTCAAACGTATGAGATGTTTGTTTAAAAATTTAATTTTTTTTTTTTTATAAATAAGCCGGTCCAACCGGTTTTTAACCGGAACCGGCCAAACCGGACCGGACCGCACTCAAATCCTAGAACCGAAAACCGGCCCAGGGTTCAAAAAAAACGGTCCGGTCCACATGTCCAAATCCTCACCCCTACATCCATCCATCCATCCAAAAATTTCAATCAAAATGCTATAAACATATTCAAATTTTAGACATCATGAAAAAAACACATCTCATAGCATAACTTCAAATGTTCACTTACAACAAGCCATCTACGGTTACAAATAGGTGGCCACTTGTACAACTTAAAAGTTAAAGCCCACTTATTTCTTTCAGACACCTGAGAACCAGATCAAAATGTGGAATTCAAACTCAGAAACTTCAGTTTCAACCTACACCCTTCATAAGATTATTCTTGTTATATATATTATATTAACCCTGAAAAACCCTCTTTTTTGAGAACTCTATACAACATGCTACTATCATCATCATCATCTCCCTCACACACTCACAGACATGTCAACCAATTCCAATCAAATTCATTGTAAATAACCTGTTAGATACTCACAACAAACTTGATTGGTTTATTGTTGTATTCAGTCGGAAACTTGAGGAGCAAATTCAACGCCTTAAGCGAAGTCGTTTCTCTTTCTCACCTTGGAATGGATTTTGAACGACGACAACTTTCATGGTGGCGTTGTTAGGAGGAAGCTGCAATTGAAGTGGGTAAAGCTTACCATCTAATGGACTTTGAGAACACACTGTTATGTTGTGTAGTCGTGTCTCTTGCTCCAATGTCCGAGTCAACTCGTTCACTTCTTTCCCTTTGAAACTGATGCAAAACCCTTGTGTGTTTTCGTTTTCCTCGGTTTCCCCCAAATCCTCGGAGATCACATGGTAGTATATCGCTCGCCCTTCTTCTCTCTTTAATGGCCAATCAATCGTCTGAAGAAAAATTGAAATTAGATACTCAAATGATCTGAATTCAAGTTAGGAACGTAATTTTGTTATCAATTTATCATATGGACATTATACATACCTCCTGATTCCAGAATGATGTGGATTTTGACCAGATTGTTGACGGCGAGTTGGGTTCAGAGGAAGGAATGGAATCGGAATGAGGAACGACTTGCGTCGTCGACGATGTTGGCGCCGGCAACTGGAGTGGGATGTCGACGATGTCGATTTGCCAATTGATCCAACCCTGGGTGGCGCTCCGGTGAGGGATGTCATGCGTGACTGAATTCCTCCACGGCGGAAGTCCGCCGTTAGCACGTAAGTAATGTCCGTATCTGGTTTTGAGCTTCACTTGTTTCCCATGCCCCATGGGCTCCCACTCCACCGACGAGTCAAGGCGGTTGGGGACCGTCTGGAGGACTTTTTTCCCGGTCATTCCGAGTAGGAAATGGTGGTTGGAAGCTGTTAAGTATTTGTCGTGGCATGATTTCAGGCGAATGATGGTGACGTTGTCGGGAGTATTGCTGACGAACTCGATGGTCCAGATGTTGTTGTGGGCGGTGGCGCTGCGGTTTTGGGAAACGGATTCCTGGTCGTCGTCGGCGTGGAGGAACTTGCCGTGGTGGCTTCTCAGCCGGACTGCTTTGGCGTTGCGGAGGAGATCCATTATCGATGGTCCGGAATATTCCTGTTCTTGTTGTTGTTGTTGTTGTTGCATCAACTGCCTCGGTTTGATCAACTTAATGGAGAAGTTCAATCGGAAATGTGGAAGTTTCTGTGAAGAACAATGCAAAATCAAGATATATTATAGGTGGTAAAATTGGGTATTCGTCACTGTCATGCTACTTGATTAAAGCTTCACTGTGTGTGTAAATGGCGACGCGTATTAGAAACGGAAATCATGACGTGTGTCGATCGCGGGGTTGATCACCAATAAGATTATGATTTTATATAAAAATAATAAATTTAAACAATATTATAAGTTCGTTTATTTTGTTTTGATTAGAAGATATTAATATTAATTGGAAAACTAACTTACTAAATCTAGACACTCTATCAAGGTTTTATGTTTCAATGTATCTATTTATGTTTTAAACATTTACATGTATTTATGAGGCTTAGGTAGTACTTTGATACAACGAATGAGTCACATTTCATATGTTATGAGTATGAGTACAAAACTAGGGGTAAATAAGTAAATTGGTTTCTATTTAAGTTATAATTAGAAGTTCCAAATAAGTTAGAAGAAATAAGTTTAATAAACAATAAACATTTTTGCTTTCATTCCACCTAACCCACTAAACACTAAAAAAAGATATTTACTAACAATGACAAACTTACGACAAACTAATAAACAACCCCAAACATTGTTGTGTGTTTTTTATACATAAAATGTTGTGCAACTTTTTCGAACTATAAAATATAGACTTTTTCTCGGAATTTTCAGTAAGATTCCCTCGTCGTTGGAAACGGAAACGGAATAAACCGACTCACAGCCTTTGCACTGACCGATGTGGAATATATGTTTTTTTTTTCTTTAAGAAAATATAACAGCTTCAACACGTTTTAAAAACCACCCTCAATTTATTTTAATATGAACAGAATCACCCCTCAACTATTAATATATTTTATTCTACCCCCTTTACTCAGATTGTAACTTCTCAAATTTGGAACATCTTTTTTTTTTTTTTTACAATATCAAAGATATTTTTCTGCATTTGATTATGTATAATTTATTTAAAAATTATTAATTCTTACAATTTATCGTTTACTATTTAGTATTTTATAGTAATAATGACAACATAAATTAAAATTTTCAAAGTCAATTAATCGATACAAACCTTGGTTTTTTTTCATTTTATTTTTTGTGTCGACAAAATAGTATATTAAAAGAACCTTCACATTTATTTATTGTTATTTTTTAGTATTAAAATTTGGTCCATCTTTTTAGTAGTTCTAACTTCTCAAGTATTTTGAATCAGATTCTCGTTACATTTTGAATGATTGAAAACATTTCTCGTGATACAAGAATCTAATAAATAAATTTAAAATCATGAACAAAATATTCTTTGTTGTACCAAATTCGGGATTTTTATGATTAGACAAAACCTTAACAAAAATTTAATCCTATGCCAATATTCAATCAAATTGTGGGATGACACGTTATTAAGTGGATACCAAATTTAATGATCATTTAACTGTTCTATGTAAAAATGCAATATTTTTAAAACATCAAAGACAAAACATTAATTTATAACTCTAACCAAACTATAACCCAATTAACTTATTAAAATTCGACGGCCAATATTCATACCAAGATAATACTTGTGACACTATTCAATAATAATAAAATGACATGAATACCCCTACTCTAACCCAAGTTGTCTTCTTGGAGAAAAGCATAACCGCAAATAGTGTTGTCATATTTAAAAGTAGAGCATTTTTAGAGATGTGGATTTTACTTGTCCACTAATGATAAAATGACAGATTTACCCTCCACCATTTGCATTTGGAATTTGACATCTTAGTGGCCAATATCTCAGTGTCCACTGTCCACACACATTGATTGGGTGGTCCATTAGTTTCCCATCCACATCTTTTGTGCTTTTGCACTTTTAATCTTATGTTATTTTGTTAATATAGTTTTATAATACTCGACTCAATTTTACTAGTTTTTATTAAAAAAATTGCTTATATGATTATTAGAAAAAAGACCATCATCATTAACATTTTATTATAAGTGTAGTTTTTTAAGATATCTTTGACAAATTACACACCTTATTTTATTTGCTTAGATGATACGGGACTTATATATAATTTAAAAATTCCTTAACTCAATATATAAATTCTTTAGTCAACCAAAAAAAAGGGTAACTTATTTACTTAGTAAACCAAAGGTCGCCATGTATACTTGTGGGGTTGGCTTTTCGATCATTCTTTTAGGTTTATTATAATTTTGTTGTTTTTTTAGAGTCAAAATATAATATTAAAGTATATTAGAGTAAACGATTTTTCTATTCATAATATTTAAAGTTATTGCAATTGAATGATTACAAATTGTATTGTAATAAATACAAAACCTAGTTTTGTAATTACACTACATGTATGGTAGTTAAAGAAAACTTAAATAGCTTTCTTTTTGATCAATTTTTTTTAAGGTGCCATTATTAATATGTACCTTATTTTACTATTTATGTTTCATTAAATAAAAACATTTCCTATTCTAGCTACCACAAGTTTTGTACCATTTTGAAAAGAATCACACATATACTCGTTGTTATAATTATAAAATTAATATTTTTATGTCGACTAAGGTAAAAAAAAACCATTTACTATTATTATATCGAATAGAGAAATATGTAAGTTTTTTAAATCAAAACAAGTAGTTTATTGGGAATAAAGATAAATGATGCACACCAATTAATGAATTAGGTTTTAACCATAGCATTTGGAATTTTGTTATAAATTAACTATTATACCTACAAAATATTTTTTAATTTATAATTTTTACTATAAACTAACTATTATACTTACAAATTTATAAGATAACACTACTAATTTTCGTAACGAAAATACAAGATGATGATTGATGAATGAATATCCGCAAAAATAATTTCTAATAATTGTTACGAAAATAAATAATTTTGCAGTAAAAAAGTAAGAAGGAAACGTACTCTCATCAATGATAGGGCATGATGATGATGGTTCCGACGATAGAATCTGGGAGATTGGATCGGTATCGGCGATCCGAGCTCCAGGCCGGAAAGTTCATCGGCGACCGATGAAACATAAGGAACAATCGATAGATGATTATTATTATCCTCTTCTTCATCCTCCGTTACATCTACAGCCTCCACATCCCATAATATCCAATTATTCGCTGAACTCGTAAAACTTCCGTCATGCGATACGGTGTTCCTCCACGGCGGCACCGCTCCGTTTGCCCTCAAATACGTTCCGGCAAACGACTTCAGCTTGAACTGAAACCCGTCCCTCACCGGCTGCCACTCAATCGCTAGATCTCTGGTGTTGTTCGTCAACGATTGGACGACTTTGTTTCCCGTCGTGCCGAAGAAGAAAGGCGTATTGGTCGCCGTTAAGTAACGACCGTAACAGCTTTTAAGACGGATGACGTGATCGTTTGATTCGACATGCTCCACCAGCCACCGTGCAGCGCGTGTTGAGGCGGAGCTGCGGCTTTGACGGACGGTTTCGAGGTCGTCGCCGGCGACGAGATATTTGTCGAGATGGCTTTTCAGTCTAACAGCCACTGCTTTTTCGAAGAATTCCATTTTGATTGTGAGAGAGAAAGAAAGAAGAAGAAGTAACAATTTTATTTTCACAATAAATATTCTTGGCTTTATATGGCTTTATATAAAACAAATTAGAGTAAATTACAAAAAACACCCTCGAGTATTTTATAACTACAATAACAAACATAAAAAAGAAGTTGTTCCCTTTGCTTATTTTTCGTCTCTTACGTTGATTCCATTACACTAATTATGACACGTGTTAATGTGTTGTCACGTGCCTTGGTTTGAAAAGCTAAAATTTAATCTTTGTTATGTTAATTAAATAAAATATATATTTTTTCATGGTGCTTTACTGATTTTCATTTGTCAATAACTCAAATTTTATACTTTGTTTTGGAATGTGAATATATGATACACTTCATGCTGCATCACTTTAGGGAATGTGCAAACCTGTGGTACATTTCATGCTGCTTCATTGATTTACATTTGTCATGTGTATTTATAAAGTTTGTATCTGTAGTTGCTTATAAAAAACTGGTCTAAGACTAATGTTTTACACTTTTTTTATAAAGCAAATTATAATATAATTTGATGCATACGTCAAAAAAAAACTTAAATACATATATAAAGTCCATTAATTTACAGAAAAAATCTCTACGAGTTTTTCGACAGAAATCAATATTTACACTTTAATATATATATTTCTAATGAAAGTAAATACCTTATTGAAGGTGGTAGATGATTTCAGTGGAAAAATCAAATAGATTTATATAGGCCTAACATTTATGAATGTTGTTTCCTTTATATGATTATGGCTAATCATGAGGAGGATTCATTTTCGCAAATTTGGCTTCGTACTCATCTTTTGGATGTTAATTGTATTTTTCCCAAAAAAAAAAAAAGTTTGTGATTGACATGAGTTCGTGTTTCAAGAGAAAGGCTAATGAATGGTGTTTGTGTCTACTGCATCTTGAATCTCTCTTAGACTATATTAATGGGCTTCTTTAAAAGAAAAGAATTAAAATAATGGACTAAATTGTAGTCTTTTATGTTTACATATATTATCTATGATTATGGGGTTTTATTTTTTTTTATTTTTTTTATATGAAATTTGTATTTATACACTATATATACAACTATAAGTATGGCCCCTGAAAATATTGGGTCTTGACATGAGGTGTCGCTTAGCTAAATAACTAAATTATTCAAAGCCATCTGAGAATATGTACGCTAAGTTACTACAATTGGAAAGGGATCCCATGATTAAGAAGTGCAAGAACCTATCCGTCTTTTTTTTTTTTTTTTTCTTCTTCTTCGCATAACCTACCATATGAAATCCTATCACAAAATCACAATGCATCCGATGCACAACATTGTTAATTTATGGAAACCTAAACCTAGAATTTGAAGTAAAATAATCTAAAATGTTTACAAACATTCTTCACAATAATCAACATGCTCGACAATGCTCTTTATGTTGGTTGATTCGACAAATGTATTGGCACCAATATTGGCGAAACTTTCACGATGACATATGTGCTTCTTGTTAGGTATAGAAGAAAATGATAAACGAAAAACAAGTCTGAGAAATACGAGAAATCAGAAACGAAATCAAGACACACGGAACACGGAGATTTAAGTGGTTCACACTATCTTGCGATAGACTACGTCCACTGTCGAACCAGAGAGAGAAAGATTTTATTCCACACACGTTTTTCTGCTACAATGTTATATATACGGCCGTTCATGAGTATATAAACGAGAAAATCTGACCTAAATCTAAAAAGCCAAGCTCGACTGAAAAAAAAAACACAAAAAAAAAAATCCCAATTTTTTTCAGTCTTCAAAATGATAAGTCTCCAGATCTAACAATCTCCCACTTGGAGGCTTGATCATCATTCAGCTGCCAACCAAGTATGTATCATCTATAACACTAGCCTCTCTCTCGATCTCCCTCCCCCTCTCTCTCTCTCTCTCTCTCTCTCTCTGCATCATCTATAAGTTCCTAGAAGCCTAGTTGAAGCCATGCATAACTTCAACTTATCAGTTGGTACCACCTTAGTAAACATATCAGGTGGATTCTTAGTACCAAGGATTTTCTTCAGATTTAGTGTATCATCAGATATCAGTTCTCGTATGAAGTGATATCGCATCTTTATGTGTTTCGTTTGGCTGTGAAACACCGGATTTTGCGCGAGATGCACTGCACTTTTGATTGTCATAGTGGATAACGTAGTCTTCTTGTTTTATTCCTAGTTCTGACAGAAAATTGTTCAACCATATCATCTTTTTGCTTGCTTCTGCAATGACCATATATTCTGCCTCCGTAATTGAAAGGGCAACACTTTTTTGAAGTCTAGACATCCAGCTCACTGTTGTACCTTCGATAGTGAAAACATACCCAGTAGTTCTTTTTCCCGAATCCGCACATCCCCCTAAATCAGCATCAACGAATCCTTCCAAAACCACTTTATTTCTGTTGAAACATAAAGCAACTTCATTCAGAAGTGCCTTTCAAGTAACATAGCAACCACTTGACCCCTTCCCAATGATCTTTACCCGGATTTGACATAAATATGCTTACAACTCCCACTGCATGTGCAATGTCCGGTCTGGTGCACACCATATCATACATCAAGCTACCAACTGCTGATGCATACGAGATTTTGGCTATTTCTTCTCTATCTTCATCCGTCTTTGGGGATTGTTTCTTGGAAAGTTTTATATGACTTCCCAAAGGTGTACTTCTTGGTTTTGCATTAGTCATGTTGAACTTCCCTAGAATCTCTCTGATATACTTCTGTTGTGAAAGCTTCACAGTTCCAACAACTATGTCTCTGACTATGCTCATCCCAAGAATTTGTTTAACATGTCTTAAGTCCTTCATCTCAAACTCTATGGAGAGATATTGCTTCAGTCTATTGATTTCATGTATGTCTGATCCAGCAACCAACATATCATCAACATATAATAAAAGAATAATGTAAGAGGACCTGAACTTCTTCATATAACAACAATGGTCCATCACACATCTTTGTACCCATTTTTTTGCATGAAGTTGTCGAATTGCCTTAGGGCTTGTTTCAGTCCATATAAAATCTTCTTCAGTTTACACACCAGATTCTCCTTACCATTTACCAGGAAACCTTCTGGTTAGGATATGTAAATATATTCCTCAAGGTTACCATGTAAGAATGCAATCTTAACATCCAACTGTTTTAGATGTAAATTTTCAGCAGCCACAATACTCAAGACTAGCCGAATAGTAGTTATCTTCACAAATGGCGAGAATATTTTATTGTAGTCAACACCTTCTTTCTGTTGGAAACTATTTATAACTAGTTTGGCTTTATATCTCTTGTTGCCGTCAACTTCTGTAACATCCCAAAAATTTCAACAATTTTAAACTTTTCAAAACGATCATATTCCTAATAAAATGTTCATAAATGGTGTTCTCAAAACATTATTTGAAAAATCAGTGCCTCCCAAGATCAATGACAGAAAAATCAGGATGTGTACAGTCACGCCTTCGCCTTGCCACGAACCTCTGAAACACCTAAAACCATAAACCAAAAATTATAAGCACAAAACTTATTGAGTTCTCCCAAAGTACCAACACAAGGCAGATAACATAAACAACAAACAACGTGCATACAGAGCCTTCATCATGCCTGGACCGCCTCACTGGGCCTTCAGACTATCTGGACCGCTCAAAGAACCTTCAGCATGATTGGACCGCCTCGTTGGGCCTTCAGCTTATCTGGACCGTTCTCCGGGCCTTCGGCCTGACTGGTACGATCCACTGTCCTACAGCCTATCCGGGCCGCCCTGGGTTTGTTGGCCTTCAGCACTAAACAGGACCAGCTCAACCCAACCATACACACAAACCATGTTGACATATACATAACAGATAAGCATACATATAACATACTGATATAAATATTACCAGGTTTGTTGACTGGTAGCACAAAGCAGTACAGTCTCAACCCAACCACACTATATCAACACATGTGACCGATAAACATATAGCTAGAATAGATAACAGGCATATCTAACAGATCACTAAGCATAACATCATCCTATCTACCAGGATACAGATCTAACATGTCACCATAATACTCAATCATACAATAAACCAGGATAACAATCCAAAGGGCCGGCATTGGTGCCTTCGACGCGCAAGTACAGTGAGGAAAACTCACCTCGACAGTTGAACCCACGAATAAATCTATGACCGCTGATCCGCTAGAAACCCCGAGCTATCAAACAAATAACACTCAATTAACAATTCGGTTCCAAACCAAATCCAATAATCCACATATATGGGGTAAAAAGACCATTTACCCCTCACCTAGTTTGGTCCAAGACTAAGGCCCAAACTCACAATCAAAGGCCCATAAACCAAATAATCAACCAAGGTCCACTTATGGAAAATTGGGCCCAAACCCTTACATGGGCCTTACGTTAAAGCCCATTAACTTTCCCTAATCCAAAACACTTGTTCTCAGATGGCCCAACAATGCCCTAAACAACCAAGCCCAAAAGATAGCCCAAACCAAAAACACCCAATGGTTAACCCTGGTCAACTGCAAAAGTCAAAGTCAAGGTCAACAGTCCATGTTGACCCAACATGTCGTGTTGCCTCTTGGACACGCCGTGTTCTTCCATCATCCAGATAATCGGGAAATCCCTAGCCAACACGTCGTGTTTGTTCGAGATTCAACAGCTTAACTAATAAGCACTTAATCCTTAAAGACATATCCCTAAAACATAGATCTGACCTCCTTGAGTTGGATTTCATGTAAAGTTGCCAACTTTACATCCATATATGACTAATTGAAGCTCTTAAGCTAAAAAAGGACTTAATATGTACTTGAAGCATGCATGACACCATCCTTCACATAAATCTTGCACCTTTACGCTCAAGGATACCAAAACAAACCCAGATCTGAAAGAACAAGCCCTTAAACAACCGCAATCGTCCAAAGACCCAAAAAGGAAAACAAAATCATAATAAACTAGCCATGAAGAGATCTAATAATACACAAGCCAAGTTGAAAACTTGATACCTCAAAGAGACTGCA